ATTAAGTTTCTATGAAGTTCTTTGGACTTGTGAAGTTTCCATATTATTTCAGATGTTTTCTCCAGTTCACGGGAGTTCTCTGGACTTTCCTGAAACTCCCGGGTTCTCACATTTCACCAGCAATTAATGAAACTGTCTTTAATTTATCGGAACTTACCACCCTTACATATCTTTAAAATTACCCAAAAGTGCGAACTATTCTGCAGTTTAAGAATTTCTGAAAAGATCCTGCAGTGTTCCTGAAGCTAATGGAACCGCAATAAATCTCTGGAAACATTTCTGAAGTTCCGGGGAAGTTGAAAAAACTGATGCGAGAAGACGAAGTAGAAGGCGACCTGCGGACCATTCGTAGACTACGAGGCTGACGACGTGTGGCCATGGATCGAGTAGAGTGGAGACGACTTCTTCGGACAGCAGAGGACAACAAGGCTTTAGCCTGATTGGTAAGATAAGGGAGAAGACGAAAGAACCTTTCAAGGGCAGCCAGAAGAAGCTTCAAAGGGAAGTCGAAATAGATTTCCGAAAGGAATTGTAAAATAACCTCGAAAATAACTTACAGGGTAAGGTGGACGAAAATTGCTAGGGAAAATTGGAAGAAACTTCGAAGGGAAGATTAGAGAAATTTCAGGAAGGAAAAATTAACATTTTGATTGATTTATTTGTTCATTGAATAAAAGTATTTCCCGATTTACAGGAAATACCGGGATGCGCCATCAGCTGAAAAAAGGCTAGGAAATGGAAGCTTTTGTCGAAAGAATATCAAGCAGAATACATTTTTAAAGAACATTTTTTTTAGAGCTGGCTCAAAAATTTGAATGTTTAAAAAGATAAAAGCCTCTCTCAATAGTTTCAGCGCGGGCGAGCAGTAATCATTTTGATTATTAAAAAAATCGGTATAAATCGGTATTAAAACTCAAAAATCGGTATTCTGAGTTACCTTATCTGTACATCGGTATCAAGTTTGAAAATCGGTATAAATACCGATAAATCGGTATATCTGGCAACGCTGTGCTAGCCTATTAAGACCAATGACGTTTATATAAGGTCTGGGCCAAAGGGCTTGTTGGTGTTAGTGACGTGTGCAAATGTTTAGTGGTGTGCGTATTTTATAGCAATGTTTATCTTTTTACACGAAACAGCTGTTGGCAGTGACGTATTTCTATCTGTTCTCAGTATGTTGGCAGTGACGTATTTCTATCTGTTCGCAGATGTTCAGCAATGTTTACAACATTTTTGCTTCTAACACCAGCAAGCTGCTTGTTGGCCCAGACCTTATATAAATGTCATTGTATTAAGACTGCAGTTGGTCAACTCTCGAAAAAAAAAATCAAACTGTTCCATATTGGACACACACACGGCGCCTGCACGGTAATGTGGGCCGTCAGAATGGTTCATCGGTTGCGAAGTAAAGTGCTTCTCAAACTGAAGCGGTACATTTCTCAATTTTTTCAACGTTATCCTAACGTAAACTTAATATTATCACCCATATGTCCGTCCACGCCCGAAACCCATCCACCACACAAAATCAAATAAAAATGTTTCTGTATGGCAAACACGTCCAGACATAAACGAGAATATGGGTATATATCTTCACTGTAACAACTACGGGTAATGATCGAAAGTACTTTGCCTTTTACTCAGGCACTTTTGAGCAAACTGCAATCACTCTCTCATACTCGAAATGTGCCACGACCAAATTGGCACAACGACGCCCTATGCGCTATCTGACCAAAGCGCAGGGTAAATAAATTTAAAAATCCTATACTCGGACAGTATATAGTGTAATAGCAGGAGCATCGATTGACACTGATAGCTCGACTTTGTTTACATTTGTTACTTTCGACGTAATGAAAATTTGCTCTTGAATTGTTCAATTTGGATTGCCATAATTCAAAGCACAGCTAAATTATTGTTATTGCTCAGTTCACACCCTGGCAGGCTACTGCCTACCGATCTGCACTTAAGCCAGGCATGAACCTACGGAAATGTAGTCGTGGCCTATGCTAGACCGTATAGCATAACGACTTTCCTTTCACTAGCAGGCTTTTTGGTCCCACTAGCGTCCGATTAGGGGATAGTAAGAGATTAAAAGAGTAAAGAAGAGAGATAGAGGATGTTGTTGTTTTGCTGAAAAAAAAAAACACGTTGGCTTGTTGTGCAACATCAAGTTTGTTCGCTTTCATTCCGTTCCAAAGGGCAACGTCCATCGTCGTCGTACTCAAATACCTGGGAACATCCAGAGGTGCACAAGGCCAACGTGAAAGACTTCTATTCTGGGCAGCTGCTTGACCTGGGCCCAAGTCAAATTCCTATCGGCTTGCTTAATTTACTTGTTGACGCTCCGTCGCCTTAGTATTTGCCTTTGCTGCGATGTTCTGGCGGATCTAATTCATAATCAAATGCTTGCCTACAGACTTCGTTTCTATTGCTATCGGCTTCTGATGACATTTACATCTGAGATCCATTTGTGAGGCCACCAGCCACAAGTTATATACCGCAGGCAGCGGTTGATGAGACCTGCAACATTTAGTGTTCTCCACTGGTGCTGCACAGATTCCACGTTTTAATCGAAGTTTCGAATTTTGGTACGTTGACCAAAATGATTTGATCTCCGCTTTTGTGTAAATGTCATATTATCACCGACCTTATTACTATCATCTTAGTGTGTGACATCAGGTGTACGCTCCTCTGTGTTTTCGTTACCAATGCAGTTAATTTGACACGTTTGTTGCATTCCCGTTATGTCTCAATATTATTCTTGCTGAACCACCGTCAAACCTACTATCCAGAGGCAGCGAGCCACCTTAACACCTGAAATTATACAAAAACAAATCAAACATTAGCATCAACCCCCCCTTCCCCGATTGCAACAGCTCCAAGCCATACAACAGGATTATTTCGTGCCCCATGACAACTTGATCCAGTAGCTTCCAGGTTCATTCTTTTGGCGCCAGCCGGGAGAGACTTGGTCCTGTACCAAATGCTTTCCTTGTCTCCATTCCGCTCAGCTTCTCGCAATTGATTGTGATATAGTGGGCGGAATATTACAATGTGAGACAATTCAAAGCAGACGTCTTCCAAATTTGGCCGATCGTCAGGTAATCAGTAGGTTACCACCTGGCACCTCTTAGCAAGCACTATGCTACGAAGCGGACCGGAAGTTTCAATGAACAACCTCCCCCATAATTCTAAGCACAGCTAAATTATGCACGAAATTTTGAAAACATATGACCAACGTGTCAGAATTTCTGCAATCCACCTAGAGCAGCCCACGACTCACGACTCACCGGTGGGTTTGCACACATAGATTGAGAAACGCTGCTCTAAGGAATGAATAAAGTTTCTATCTAAGCAGCTTAAAGCTCGACTATCAAAAATGCAACTGGAAATGGAACATCTTTTAACCAGTCACTTAGAAACCTTTAAATCAATACCTTTTTTTTCGTACAAGCAAGATCATAATCCTAAATTGTCATTGAATAGCTGATTCTCTGAGCTTATCAGACACACAATGAGAAGCTACACTCAAAAAATAAATCACATTTCCAATGGAAAATATCCATTAGAATTCCACATAACTTTCATGTGATCTCATAATTGGGAATTGCAATACAAAATCACATGAACCTTATGTGTCCAATGAAATTTATGTGATTTATCACATAGAATTCATGTGATCATATGAATGTTATGTGAATTTCAGATACGAATCATTAATCTAGTTATTGGAAAAATATCATGTGCGTTCCCAATGGAAACTATACGAAAACTTTTTTCGGTGTAGAACTACAAGTATTCAGGAAAATTATCCTCTTCTCTTAACTGTTAACTCTTAAAAGCATTTACACAAAGACGCTCTAACCCACTCATAGAGGCACATAGAGGCACACCAATCCACTCGGAGGTTAAATTTTGTCAGACCCAACTTGCTGTACCATCTATTATGGTGATACTCTAAGGAAGCCTTAGCGTGAAACTTCAAAAGCATAAATATCAGCTCCAACAAAACATACAAATATGAAATTGCCACTCCCTGGTTGCTGCGCTACAACAAACAGAGAGTAGCAATGTTATAATTGTATGTTTTGTGAAAGCTGACATTTGTGCTCTTGAAGTTTCACGCTAAGGCTTCCTTAGAGTATCACCCACTTGAGACGAACTAACCCACTTGAATGTTTAATTTTTGCACATTTTGCAAAGCCTAGCGTTTACTCAATGACGCACATGGATTCTTGCCGACCCTGATGTGGATTCCACTACAACTCAGAGACGTGTCAACCCAGTGGGAGTTGGATTATTATTGACAGTCTAGGCCCAACATAATCAAAATGCCCTTTATTTGAGTATATTCTGTTCAACTTTCAAAAAATCATGCAATTAAAATCCTTCATTTGAGAAACCACAAGCTCAAAACGTGACAACTCTTAATTAACTAACATCCTCAAACTACACAATCACATCATGCGAGCAGCTTAAAATGATGTTTCCTACAATTCGAACTCGGTAAATTTTTCACTGAGTTCCAGCAAAATAAAATGTCGAGCTGCTCAAGAAAATGCTTTACCCATCTCGGCAAAACAAATCCAAGTTCTCCAGAAGAAAAATTCTGTGAAAGCTCGATCAATCGTTTCCGTGTCCTAAACAGTAACCGTCCCTACCTATCCACATCAAACATTGACACATTTTGTTTACAAAAGCTGATAGGCGCTTTTCAAATGTTACGCGAGAAAACAGTCTTTTATTTTGCTTACGTTGTATATAATTCGCACGTGATACATGTCACACAACTACTAAAGTAATACGTAAATTGACCAAATTAACTGGCCTGTCCATGCCGAAACGAGTACCTGACGTCATGCAACTGCAGTTTACTACTGTAATCTATCGCTGTTCTTTTCAACATTTTGCTATGTAGTAGTACCATGCATCTTATATGGCAGTAGCATGATAATTATATGAATCATATGTAGGTACCTGTTTAGTTATATGGTATGATATAAATCGACCGCTGGTACAGTGTAATCCATCAAACTACCGTTATGAGCCAAATTCACGCCGGTAAATTTAAATCTTTTAAACATTCCTGTCAATCTAATAGAGATTAATCCACCCGTTTTAAAGGTATCAACTGCGACGCCTGTGGCGTGCAGAACTTTGCAGGCATCCGCTACGCTTGCCTCAGCTGTCAGGATTACGACCTGTGCGAGAGCTGCCAACAACGGACTGCCTTCACGAAGAAACACGCCCCCTTTCATCCGATGCAGGCCATTCTCACGCAGTACGATTTCGTGCAAAAGCATCATTCGACAGCCGGGTCGTCAACGGAATTCAAAATTTATCGCTGTCCACACTGTGGCAACGATGGGTTCAGCTTGACGACGTTGCTCGCGCATGTGAAGGCTCTGCATGCGGAATGCAATGGCAAGGTTCGCTGTCCGGTTTGCGTCATGTTCCGCATAGGACGCTATGGGTCGGATCTGCTCGATTGGAGCTTGGCGTTCCACATTGAGAATGGACACATGAGTTTCAGCACCGGTATGTTTGGCTAGTGTCGCGAAGATCCCACTGGAAAGATGATTTTTTGCTTGCGATTGATTTCAGATGTGGAACACGTGTTCAAAACGCTCCAGTATGGGGCATCGTCCTATTCGAAAGGAAATCCTTCCTGGTCCTTTGATGCCGATGGGTAAGCACATGCTTTAACCACCAGTATGGGATTACAACCGCCCACGTTTTGTAATTTCAGGGCATCCTGTAACATTTGCTCTGCAAAGCTGGGGCATGATGAAAATCTGTACCGTTTCCTGCAATGCGGCCATGGATTCCATCACAAATGTATTGACTCGTGGTTGATAAACAATCATATGAACTGCCCGCTTTGCTGCCTTCCGAGAACGTAATTGTAATTCAAAGTGAAAAACCTGTAAACCAATAAATCCCAAGGCTTTCGGATGACTAGAATTTGCTTAAGCTGTTCGTTGCGTTACGTAATAGTTATATTGTAATAATAAATGATTAACCACTTCTCTTCATGGGGCGTTGATCGACTTTCTAACTATTTTCAATCCTCGATGAGCTCGTTTCCCAAGCAATCGCAAATTCAGTTGGTATAAGAGGATGATGCGTATGAAGACGCTGCATAAAAAAGTTCCAAGCAAACCTTCGTACGGCGATCCAAGCGGCTTACTTTTTAACAACCTGAATAACGTCTTCGTCTTGCATGATGTGCGAAATTCCGACTCGCTGTGGAGAATATTTCGTGGAAGTACCCCAAACCAACGCGTACTTGAACTGATCCGCCAGTGTTCGATGGATCGCGTGGCACACGTGCTCTACTGAGACGCCCTGAAACATAAAAAATGATTCACCGTTACAATATCGGATATTCCCCGGGGCATCTTACCCTTCTCAGAATCAATCCATCGTCGAAATCCGGAGGCGCACCGGGCTTCTTCGTGTACACTCTAATCAGCATCAGATGTTCCCAAAGTACCTCCAGCAGGTAGTCCAAATTCAGATGCATATTACAACTGACCACCACGCTGAAGTCCTGCCGCGCCAGCCGATCCACCTCCTCGATCGAAATCTGATCAATCTTGTTGTAAACGTAGATGCACGGCAAGTAGATCCGATTGCCCGAAACCACGTCGATGAACTCATCTTCGTTGCAATCCTCCCTGAACAGCACCTCCGCGTTGAAAATCTTAAACGAGTGCAAAATCGTCTGTACCATCTTCTCGTTGCACCTCGTCAGCGGACAGGTCGAATTGAAGCTCACGCCACCACCCTTCTTGATCTTGAAGTAGATATTAGGTTTCCGCTTGTTCAATCTCAGCCCCACCGATTCCAACTCGTACTCCAGCAGTTCCCGGTGCACGTTCGGCTTCGTAGCATCCAACATCATCAGTACCAGATCTGCCGTCCGAGCCACGGCAATAACCTGCCGTCCACGGCCCTTACCCTGGGCGGCACCCTCAATGATTCCCGGTAGATCCAGTAGCTGAATATTCGCTCCCTTGTAGTCAATTACACCCGGAATACAGGTCAGAGTCGTAAACTCGTAGTTGGCCGCTTCGGATTCCGTTTTGGTCAGCGTCGACAGCAGCGTGGACTTACCGACCGAAGGGAACCCGATGAGCGCAATTCGAGCATCACCCGATTTCAGCACATCGAAACCTTCACCCTTTTCGCCCTTCTTCGAGGGTTCTAGCAGTTGCGACCGATACTTGGCGAGCTTCGCCTTCAGCAACCCCAAATGGTACTCGGTGGCTGTGGAGAAAGTTCAATCATCCGGTCAATATTCAGAATCAAAACAAAAACTTGTTGGTTACCTTTATTCTTTTGGGTTTTGGCGATTTCCTTCTCGATATCGGAGATTTTCTCCAGGATACCCATGATGGATCGACAACCTCGCGGATGATTGCACGAGAAAAATGGAAATGATAAATCGGATTCTTGGGTTTTTTTGCGACAAAATTACGGATTTCTCCGTGAACGAGGCGACGAAAGGAAGAAAAACGCACCACGACCGGGTTGATTGTTGTGACGTTTCGAAGCTTTTTGACAGCAAGTGTGAAATATTTCCACTGCAGTGCTGCCGTTTGAGGTATTTTCTGATTTTTGTTGAAAACTTTCTCAGACCAAGACGAATCTACTGTGTCAGGTGTTCGGAAATGATCACTAAAGGTTCACCATAAAAATAATATCGATCAACGTAATTCATGCTGATGTGACCCACACGAAACGAAAATCAATAATTATTTTATTCATGTGTTTCACTTATACATTTTTGCCAAAACATCAGCCTTATACATTCCATAAGACAAACCACATAGGTCCTATAAGAATGCATAAAAGGTATGTGTGACCGCTTTTACATTTCATTTGACACATGATCTTCATTTACTTTTTGCAAGGCGTCTGCTTATTAGTTGACTTATACATTTTATGAATAATCAGCAATAGAAATTTGTCAAAAGGTATAAGGAGATTTCTATCCGTGCAGAAGCAAACTCGAAAAATTTGAACGTCAAAAGGAGCCAGAATCAAGTCAAGCAGTTTGATGATACTTTTTTTTTACAGTTGAACAAGAATGCACAAGGTGGTATTGAAATCTTGCGAAAAGTAATTTATAAAAAAAAAACTGTCGTATCAAGCTATCTTATTCAATGGGACATCGTTATTTAAATTCATTAATTGAATATACCCAAATTCGTATTGAAAGATACCATTAACAAAAATACAAAACAAACAAGGTACATTTTCTCCCTGCACACACGGATAGAAATCTCCTTATACCTTTTGGCAAATTTCTATTGTTGATTATTCATAAAATGTATAAGTCAACTAATAAGCAGACGCCTTGCAAAAAGTTAATGAAGATCATGTGTCAAATGAAATGTATTAAGCGGTCACACATACCTTTTATGCATTCTTATAGGACCTATGTGGTTTGTCTTATGGAATGTATAAGGCTGATGTTTTGGCAAAAATGTATAAGTGAAACACATGAATAAAATAATTGATTTTCGTTTCGTGCACTGGGCAATCAAAGAAGAATACTAAGATGAAACAGTCAGAAGAAAAACTTTCAATTTTAGTGTCCTCTTTCAAGGTCCCTTTCATCCAATGAATACCCCCCCGTATGAAAGGTCATTTTGTGGTTTTGCTGCCCCCATCGGTAGAGATAAAATTTTGCGCTCTTTTTTTTATCAAAACAATCACACCAAAATCAGAGATGTCCCATTTTTTTAATTATTCGGATAACAACTAATCAATTATTTTTTGTTTGTTGTGCTGTCATTTTTCCACCAATGAGAGTACAGCACATGTTTGAAACGATGGGTGATGATTTTCTGGAGAAGTTAATGCTTATATCGGAATGATATAACCGATTACAAATATTTTATTTTTAGGTTCTTCAATCGATTAATCGAATATTCGAAAAAATTTTTTTAAAGTTTATCAGATAGCTGAAAGTTCGGTAATGATTTATCGAAGTTGGTTACGGATTATCGATTCTCGGTTGCGGACACTCCGATTCTCTGTTACTGTAATATTTGATTATAGACGTACCGCTTTGTTTACTCGATTCACCATCACAATGACATCTCAACATTGTCTTGTTTACTACTCAATACTAAGGCTGTTTTCCATTTGGAATTTTTTTCACTTAAATTTGACACTTCGAAAATTAATTAAGATGTTCGAAAATCCCTTTGTTGTTGATCGGCCGATTTTCGAGAAGGTTTGTGTCAAAATTGATTATATGTCTGTCAGAAATAAGTTTGCTGGAATAGCAAGTTTATTTTAAAATTTTCCATCTGTCAAATTTAAGTGAAAATTCACCAAATGGAACACAGCCTAAGCGGGCACTGAGGGGGGGGGGGGGGGCACATCCAAATCTCAATTCTAAATGTTCAAAAAATCTCACACAAGCGAATCAATCTTCGAAAAATCTTCTATAATTTTTCGTTGCTACTCGAGTATAAGGTATACTTGCATCGTGTATCATCTTTTTGCAGGAAATCTTCATAATCGTCATCAATCTTCTTTCTATCTACTAAGCATGCGCGCAGCTAGCCACAGCTAAACACAATCTCAGGGAAAACATGTCAGAAGAATCTAACTGGAAACGTAAATAATGACTTGGATCGTCGGTTTCTTTTGAATGACTACATACCCACTCAAACTAACATAATCATCGGACAGAGAAAAGTTTATTCTATGAGCTAGTGTTATCAGATTCCGTGAGTGACGTTCAAAGTCATTGTTTACGTTTCGAGTTGTACCCTTCTGACATGTTTCCCCTGGTCTTTCCTGCGCTGCATCGTAGAGAGAGTCGTCCCCCTCGGAGGGCACGACAGATTCTTAAAGTGCGAAGAGAGTAATGGAAACCTAGGATCAAAAGACAGCAATCCAATCTTCTCTGACGCCTTTATTTACACATTCCATCAAATCGAGATCGTACATTCATTCAACCTCGCTGCTTTCCAGATTTTTAATTGTTGTTTCATTTTAATACACTTATCTACAAATTAACTATGATACTGCCCTGTTTAAAAAATAAATATGAAAGTTTTATTTTACTTGTGTCTTGTATTTTTCTGTTTATAAGCCATTTGCAATATGTTTATTTCTAAATGTTTTATTATTATTTGATACATTGTTCTATTTATACATGTAGTTCAACAAAATTAACTTTTCTAGTTATATAAAACCAATCCAAATTTATCCATTTTTAAAACCAATTTTCCTTTCAACATAAATAGATTTGATTGAATTGTCAGTTTGTCTCAACAATGGCTTCCTTCACCAGTTCACATCCTCCATAAACTTTTCTATCAGTAGCAGTTTATAAAGTAGATTTAATAGTAGATTTTGTACATAGTTGTGTCGTAGTAGTTCAGTTGAAGTTTTGCGTAGCGATTGTATGGTACCTTCTATTGTTTTGCACGTTTTTATTTTTTGGAAGAATCAAAGCCATAGAAGGGCTCAATAATTGCATTGGAAAAGGATGAGTTCCTACCCTACACGGAAAGAAATGTTTTCTACGGTTATAGTGGTGTCCTGTGTCCTCACCGTCATCCGTTACACCATCTCACCCTCTCCACCCTGATCTCAGTAGACGCCACTGCCGGCATTGCCCATGTACTCAGTCCACCGTTGCTGATCGTAGCTATGCAACCTGGAGCACACCTCACGCTTGAGGTTCAGATCGTCCGGACAAGAGCAACCTATCTCCAACCGCGTGACAATGATTTGCGTTTCGAACCGTTGATAGCTTGGTTTCACGTTGGGGAGTCTTTCCTCGAGACATCGTTTCAGGAATTTCTGCTCCAGGTGTAGAAGATCTTCGCTACTGTAGGTACGGTACGCGGAGAGCTTTTCCTGAACACAGGTCATATCCTGTTCCAGGAACAGCGGTGGATACGTCTCCGACTCACGGATATTCATCACGAAGACGTAGTCTATGGTTGGTTGCTTAGGGGAA